CATCTATGACCCTGGTAGAAATAAAGCCTAGCATCTTTACACCACTATCCTAAGCATCCTTCCTTGAAGCTACCTGATGAGTTCTCCTGCCCTGCATACTGGGAAAGCCAATGATTCTGGTCAGAGTACTAGAGATACTTGTACAAAACACAAGTCTTTTTTGTGGCCATTTAAGGAATGTGCAGGATGTTCCCAGATCGGATTCTTATCCACGCCCTCTAAAATCCAAGACTAAAAAGGGTTAGACTTGTTAGCTCCATTTGATTTGCTCCTGGTGCCTACTGCCTACTCATACTACTCATGTGCTATTGTTGTGTCTTCTTTTGCAAAACCTGCAGCCAGAACTAGATTTCTCATTTGGGTCAAAGTAAGCCCTTTAAAGAGAATGTAAGGCAATGAAAAGTCATGTGCCACATCAAAAGACATTAAAAAGGGCAACTCTGAATTTAAAGCAGAAGAAAAACAAACAACAAAAAAAAGGCATTTCAAGATAGCCCAAAACAGCTTTGATGAATGCATATGGCTCAGGTTTTTAATCTAATCAAGCTTTTGGTAGGTATCTTAATAGCTAATAAATTCTTCACAAACAGTCCAGAGAAACACAATCAAGTTACAAAACAAACGCAACCAAAGCATTTGCAAGTGACAGGCAACTCTCCTCCCCCATGGCAGAAGCCAAACTATTTTCTTACACCTATTTTTGGGTATTTCTACCGTAGGAAGTTCAGCACAAACCAGATCTATAAAACCCAAAAGCTACCACCACATTGTGACATCAAAAGTTCAAGCTTTAGCTATTGTTCATCTTTCAGCAACATGGGAGATGAACAACAGCCAAATTACATCTCTCTGTCATCAACTTGAACCGAAGTACTGCTGTCAGTGGCAGGAAAATTGCTACACTTCAGAGCAAATAAGGACTGAAAAGAAAGTTATGCCATGATGGCAATGCTGTATGCTTAAAATACACTATAAATGCTGCTCTTAAAGCTAAAACCTAAAGCAATAGTTGGATCAAGATGAACATTTAATGTACGTTTCCTGAGCTCTGGAGGAGGCTCCTACAAACTCAGTGTTGAAAAGACAATTCGGGGTTAAATGAAAAATGGGAGCTACAACACAAAAACATAAAATTAACATTCTTGCTCAGATAGTCAAGGCAAATTGAAGACACCTCATTTAGTACTTTCATTTTCCACACTTTGGTAAATGCTATTAAAAAAAAGAAAACCAAAACTCACAGTATAAAGAATAAATGCTAAGAAACCCATACATTATGCCACCACTTTTTCACCAGAGTATTGCACAAATCCATGAATTCTGTACAATCTGTCCCCTGGAAGACTAATTACAAAGACAAGCAATAAACCACAAATTTATGACCTTCATGTTTTCAAGGAATCAGTAGTATTTGTCAACAGTGGAATTTATTGTCATGGTACTTGATGAGATATATTCAGTAAAAAGGCTTAGAAACTCTTTGTTTATAATTAAGCAATAACGATTGAGGGCCAGGGCATTTCCTGGGGATTAATGACCAGGATGGGAGAGCCAATGGCTTGAGGCAATACCTTGGGCCATTAACCTCAGCCAGTCATTAATTTCCCCAGGAAATGCCCTGGACCTCGATTAGTGTAAGTATCATAAAGGGTAGCAAGAGAGAAAAAGTTTAGCATTAACAGTCTCCCAAGGAAATCCATTCCACAGCCAGTATTTTTTCATTTTGTCACATCTCAGAACTGCATAAGTTAAAACTGACACAAGAAAAATTGGTGATGAAAATGGAAAATAAAATTTAAAAAAAAAATACACTTTTTTTTTTTCCTATTAAAGATTTAAATGAATGAGGTTTGTAGCAAAGGCAAGATTCAGCTACAAAAGCGAGTGGGCATCTTGTTTAACTCATGAAATTATGAATGGACATTTCCATATAATTACTGAAAAAACTCACATTGTCTAGTTCTAGTACCCTTGGTGACTGCTCATTTTCTTTCTTGATACACTTATGAAGACAGCAGATGCCTGTGTATCTATTTTAGCTATTTCTCCCTTTCTCCCCACAGCCTTTCTCTCTCAGTTAATGAGAATTACAGCTCCAAATGCTTCCCGTAGGAAGCTCAGCTTTGCAGCAAACACTACGGCAGCTGGATTTCTCCTCGCCTAAGCTTTATGCAAGTGTGAAGGGATTTGTGGGCAAGGGTAGAGATAGAGTTCTTTAGTCTGACAACTGAAAGTACCAAGACACCTCATTTAACAGGTTAAAGATACACACACTCCCTGACCACTGACTGCTCTGCCGAGTTCCCTCTTCCCCTTCCCAGACGAATGTGCAGTGCTCCTCCTAAAAAGCTGAACTGTGCCCAAAGTTTCAAAATTACTTTCAAGATCATTAAAGATCAAGGGGAAGAGGAATCTGGGGTTAAATACGGCAAGGAGCATTAGCTTTTACCTGAAATAATGAGCTAGAACAAAAACATTATCTGCACATAATCAAGCCTCTAAGCCATTCAGAGACACCAGATACACACAGCAGGGGATCAAGCTACAGTACTCCACTGAAGTGGTCCAAAAAAAGCCTCGCTGAAAGAAAGGAGAGGTCACAGGTATCTTAAACATAGATGCTTATGCAGGCATTCACTGGGAGCCCTGCCCTCCCCCTCCCCACCCCAATTAGCCTTCAGGCTAGCTGATTAGTTGGCAAATTCTTTGAAAGGGTCAGTCTGTCCAGAACTGGTATTTCCACTCGGGAAACAGCTCAGGCATGTCATATACCTGTGCTTGCCCAGCGCCGCGCTCCCTGGCTGACGGCTGCGATCCCTGTTATTACTTGACATGAGAATGTCAGAGGGGTTTTGTAATCATGTAGGGCAGCCATCAGTGAAGTTCTTGCCTGAAACGCGGTATTTTATGGGGCACAACGTAACTGCATATGCTTTACAGATTTAGTTAGAATGGCTTCCAAACTTCAAGCCAATTGCAGAGGTGCAGCGAGTCTTTAATTGAAGTAATTTAGTTCCGGCGCTCAAACACCCGAGAGGAAAGTACTTTTGGAGGGGATGGGGAGCAGGCACCAGCACGTGCTGGCATACAGCAGAGGGGGCTCTGCAAGGCACGCATTAAGGCACAGCTCAACAGCGTTTTTGACAACACCGTTTTACCTTAACGAAACACATCTAATGAATTTGGGCTCATTCCACAGCTAAGATGCACCTAAACCCGTTTAATTGTGCTCTTACTGTATATTTCGCCACTATGGTAACTAATGCAACTAAAGCCAATTTGCCTTAAAAAAAAAAAAAAAAGGATCAGTGCCAGGAAACAGAGCTATTTTAAATAAACAAATACAAGATGAATGCAATTGCCATATTAACCCTCTTGTTAACTTCTGAAGTTTAAAATTACACCCTCATTACTAGTGTGTAATTGAGTATTCTCCCGGCTGTTTCTTGCATTTGAGGTTATTCAAATAGTTCATTAGCACATCAAGAACACCACACACACTAATGATACCTGATGCCCCTATCTACTATTCTGGCCCGACTTTCCTAAGTCACGTCTCCCGCACAAAGAGAAATAAAAGAGGGGGGGGAAAATAAAAAAGAGGAAAAGAGGAGCCCATAGGGCTGAGCTGTCAGTGCTGCCGCTGAGGGGGAGCATGGCATCACCCAAGCACCATTCAAGTCCAACACCCAGGCACACAGAGTGGCCACTGGACCAGTGGCGGGGCATGAAGAGACTGGTGGGACAAATAAGTTGGATAACTCGCATTTGGGCTCTTTGGGTGCCTGAAGAGTGAGCGTGACCCAAGAGCCACCCCAATGCTGGCAGTGTGCCTCAGTGCCCAGCCTCGGGGGAAGAAAGGAGGGGGCCAGTGCAGACTATGTGGGGCAGGGTGAGGGGTTGCCACTTTTTTTTTTTCCTTTTTCTTTTTCCGGTTACCTGTGTGGGGGAAACAATAGCAGGTGAAACTACTGTGGGTGAAGTGGTGCTTCTGTGCCCATTTGCTTCGGGGAGGAGGTGAGGCAAGGGGTCATGTTTCACTGAGACCACCACCACGGCGGGCGCAGCGGCATCCAGGGGCTCAGCGGGGCGGCGGCAGAGTCTTTTTGGGGAGGCAGAGGGCCCACATGCATCGCCGCCGGCCGCAGCCCCTGCCGGGAACACTGCCTCGTAGAGCGCCCGCTTGGCCGGCGCCACTGCGGCCGCCTCCGCTTTCACCGGCGCAGCGTCGCCGTCTTTGGGCAGCACGTAGGGGTTGGCAGCGGGTGGCCGCAGCCGAGGTCCACCATTGAGGGCAGCAGGGGTGTAGAGGCCCCCGCCAGCGGGGTGGTGGAGGAGGTGGTGGTGGTGGTGGGGAGGGGGGTGGTGGTGGTGGGGTGGCTGCAGTCCTCCCAGCTTGGTGCCAATGCCAGCGATACTGTTGAGGGTGGCAATGGAGACGGCACCAATGCAGTGGTTGGTGTAGGTCTTGGAGAGCTTGGCCGCCTTGGAGAGCATCTGCATGCGGGTACCCAGGAGGTTCTTCCCGATGGCCTTGTTCTCGTACCAGGTGATGTCACCCTCGCTGCAGTGGTCCCGCGGGCGCTGGAAGAAGGCCTTGCAGAGGGGGTTGCGCTTGGAGAGGTACTTGACAAAGCTGGCGTAGGGGCAGAACTCTGTGCCAGTCTCATACATACGAGGCAGGTTCTCCTCGTCGCTGCTCTCCGCCCGCTTCTTGCTCCAGGAGGACGAGCGCGACTTGTGGTAGGGCCCCAGCGCCTTGAAGTAGACGAACTTGCGTCCGTCCTCATCCACGGCCAGCCCAAATGAGTCCTCCTCCAGCTCCCGCTGGTTCTCCCGGCCCCGGGTGCAGAAGTACATGCAGGTCTCAAACCAGACCTTGTTGAGGAGCCCGAAGGGACTCTGGGTGCTGAACACGCTGCACGTGTAGAGCTTGCGGAGGTCGGCGCGGGTGATGGCCTGTTTCTGCACCACCGGCCCGGCGCCCTGCTCCTCCAGCTTGCGGATGACAGCGGCCAGGGTGAGGTTGGCGGCGCGGAGCTCTGGGTCCTTGGTGAGGTCCAGGGTGCGGCAGTAGGGCGGCTCGTTGAGGTAGCGGTTGAGGGAGCTGCGGATGCTGATGAGGGAGGACTTGGAGTAGAGCTGCCCGCTCTTGGAGCGCGCCTCGGCGTAGAAGGAGCGCAGGACCCGGCAGAGCGCCCCCTTGTCCATGGTCTCGAAGTCAGGGCTCTGCGCCTTCTCGCTCAGGTACTCGCGGAAGATGCGCACGGCGTAGCGGGTGGCCAGCCGCGTGTTCTCGCTCAGCCGCGCCCGCTCCGGCCGCTGCAGCAGCAGGGCCGCCTCCAGCTCCGCGTCCTCCGCCGCCCCCCCGGGGCCGCCGCCGCCCCCCGGGGCAGCCGCCGCGGCGCCCCCCGGGGCAGCCCCGACGCCGCTGCTGCCGCCGCCCGGCGTACGGCCCGGGGCGGGCGGCAGCGGCTCCGTCTCCTCCTCGCCGTCCCACTCCAGACCCATCTCCTCTTCCTCCTCCTCCTCGTCCAGCAGCAGCCCCCCATCGGCTCCGTCCTCCTCCTCCTCGTCCCCCGTTATCTGCACCTCCTGGATCTCATCCTCCTCCTCGCCCTCCTCCTCCTCGCCGGCGCTGCAGTAGCGGTGCGGGCGGGGGGCGACGCCGCGCCCGGACGGCCGGTCCCCCGCATTGTTCCCGCCGCCTCCGCCGCGTCCGCCGCCCCCTCCGCCGCCGCCGCTCCACTCGCCGCCGCCGCCGCCGCTGCCAGGCATTCTCGCCATATTGCCGTCTCCCTGCCAGTCCTCGGGCAGGGCGCATGCGCTATATTGGACCGCAGCGCTGGAGCGCTTTTGTGTTTTAATGACCTTCAGCTACCGGGAGGCAAAGCCGGGCTCTTAAAGGGGCCGCGCTCCCACTGGCGGCGGCGGGGAAGGGGCGGGAGAGGTTGGGATGGATGGGGAGGAGGCTGAGTCGCGCTGAGGGGTACCGCGGGGAAGGGAGCGGTACTTACCGCGCCCGCCGCTCACCTCGGGTCCGTCCCGTCGAGCAGCGCTGATGGGCGCCGGGCGCGGGGGGATCCGCCGGGCAGGTGCGCCCCGGCCCGGAGGCTCCCCCGCCACCCGCGGCGTCCGTCCCACCTCCCCATCCCCGAAAAAGAAAGCATTCCGCCCGTGGAGCGGCTCTTTCGTTAGGAACGGACCGCCACCGAGCTGCTACGACGCCTCGCACCTCCTCATTCCACAAAAAAAAAAACCAAAAAAAAAAAAAAAAAAAAGAAAAAAAAGAAAAACCCGCAAAGCGAAGAAAAGAAAAACCAAACAAAAACACAAACCAAACCCCAACCCCCCCCACACACAAAAGACTCGGGCTGTGCTTGTCCGCAGCACGGCTCAGACCTCGACAGGATGCTGCCGGGAAGCGGGCGGAGGACCCGGCCCCGTTCCCCGCCTGCCGTGCTGCCGCGACATCGCCTGCCGCCGACCTCGCACCTTTAGTCGGGCGCCCGGATTTCGGTCGAGGGGCTCGGGATGCGACGGACGCTCGGGGCATTGCATCCGTGCGGCTCGGAGTCCGCCCGGGAACAGCCAGTTGGTAGCCGCGGCGCTCGCTTGGCTTGCGGGAGCCCCGGCGAGGTTGGCTGCGGAGAGGGAGCAATAAGACTCGGGGGCTGACGGGCGCTCCGGGCCGCCCTCTCGCTCGCTGGGGCTGCAGACCTTAGGGCAGCCGGAGGGGCCTCGGCCCCCCCGTGCCGCCGCTGCCTCCCATCGCGCCCGCGTTCTTCCTCTGCTACCCTCTTCCGCGACGGAGCAAAACCCGAGGGGACTCCCGCAACCGCGCCGGGGTGCGGAGCCGCCGGACCCACCACGGCCACTTTGCGGGTGTTTCGGCAGAGGGGAGCCCCGGAGCGGCGCGGCGCGGGCGGGGGGCACGGAGCCCCGGCTCTGCCCTGCCCCCGCGGGCCCTCGCCCCCCGTTCCGTGCGCGCCCGCGGGGCGCTCCGTCCCCCGCCCGGCTCTGCCCCGGGAAGGCGGCTGGCTGCACGCTGCCTGCCTTACCCTTCCTTCCCGGGAAGGGTCCTTGGCCGGGCTGGGCTCGGGCAGGAACGAAGGCATAAGCCCACGGCCGCGCACCGCGGGGAGAGTGAGCCTGTCCCACTCGGGACGGGAGCGGACGAGGTGGATCCCCGCTGGGAGCACCCCCACTCTCCAAACCAAACTACCCCACAGAGCTCCCCGTGCTATTTAGCCGAGCCATTTCTTTTATTCGGTACGATGAAATAAATATTCATTGCGACTGTTGGCTACACCTGAAATTGTAGCCCTAATTGCAGAGCTGTTGGCCTGAGTTACCACATTTGCTGCTTACTCATCCGTACGAATTGCTCAGCGCCGGGCCCCAGCCGTGGTGGCTCGCTTTGGGGGGGCTCGGTGCCCGCGGGCGCTGGGCGGTGCCGAGCTCCGTGGCCGCTCCTCCGGGGCAGAGACCGACGGCCACGGACGGGGCGACCCGGACAGCCCCAGACCCCGCCGTCCGGGGAAACGTGGGATGCCAAAGAAGGGATGTGCAAATTGTTGAGCAAATTAGGCCAATTCGAAATAAATAAGCACTGCGGGAAGAGAGCCTGCCACTCCCGGGAAATAATTGAAGAGAAACCCGGCACTGTTATATTGATGTAAGCCTGGAGTAATTACGCGGAGGTCAAAGTTGTTGCACGCGCTACAGAAGTTGTGCTCACTCTGTAGTTTGAGAGCGGATTATGTTCCCTCTTAGGTCGATGGCACATATATAAAATTCTGCATTTTTTTCCCTTTGCACATAAGAGGATATAAATAAGGTTTTGTTTGGTTTTTTTTCCTTGTCATACTTTATCTGTAACCTAATCCTGAAACAAAGTCTCAAAGACTGTCCCACGAGATGGACCAAATGCTGAAAGAGATAGCTAAAAGAAACAATACCTTGTTGTGTTTAAAAGCTAAATGCCCCAGACAAGCTCCTTGTAGGAGCTATTACAACCCACTCTAGAACACAGAGAACTGCAGAGCTTGCAGCATAAACTTTTAAAATGCAGATTATTTTTCTTTATTGTTCCTGTAAATGCTAAAAATTACATGATCGGCATTGACCTTTGATTCTGTCTTACGATGCGGAAGCCACTTTTTTTCTGAGACCTTTTCAGAGCCATATGAGTGCAAAAGGTAATTTAATATTTTTTAGCTTTAAAAAAGATGAACACCAGGTTGACAGCTTCTGTACTTGGATGTTCATTTAATCACCATTTTCTGATTACAGGAGGTGAACTATGTTGACAGACTTGCAGATGAATATGCAGCCCAGTATACGAATAGTAAGTATAAAGGACATAAAGAACTTGCAGTGAGGTTGGAGGGGAAAAATGTATACAGAGCTTCCGTATTACACACATCAACTGGAAGCACCTCAGCAGCCAGGGGGGATTTAGAGAGTAGCAAGAGAGGTCTTCAGTGTGCTTCAGGTGCCCATAACTGGGAAGACACGTGTAAATTATATACCTGTATAATCTATATGCATATAGGTAAGTTAATCAGATACATATATGTTAACTTACCTATCTGTCTACGTTCCTAAAAATAGCATTTAGCTTAGTCAATTGTATTTAAATCCTAGTGTTCAAGCTCTCCAGTTAGATAAGGTAATCAAACTGCATTCCAAAACTGACTGAGTTGCACAAGGTTGTCTAATGTGAGCTGGCATATAACATTAAACTTACATCCACTCCACCCTCCACGTCACTAATCAGAGGTTTATCCTGCTGAGAGCTCTGTGCTGGCAGAGACAGCATTCTACATTCTCCTCTAGGACTCAAGGTTCGAGGCTGATTATCAAATAGGTCCTGTCCACACTTGGAGAATACATTTTATTACTGCTGTCAGTAAAGAAGATGTGATACCCACAGAACACTAATAATGGACTGGCCTCACTAAGGATTATCCTTAGGAGTACTTGCAGATCAGTTCATATACCTCAGAATGAGCATGCCAGTTTAAAAACCAGAACAACCTCCTCCATGAGTCAGTTGGTTTATAATAAAGGTAGTGCTTGTTACCACATTAGCAAATAGTTTCAGGTCTTTCTTCACTTCTTTTTTAAGCTGCTCTTGCCCCTGGCCGTGCTCCTGGCAAGCAGAGAGCTTGCTAGAGCTGTGTTCTTTGACAATCGGCTATTGTGCTGAAGCTCTCCACAGCCCAATTCTCCTTCAGACTAACAAAATCTACTTCTCCTGTAGCCTCTATAAGTGGTTATTTCATTGCAGCCACCTAAACCTTTGTGCTTTGGTGAGTCTTGGTAGGTGTTTCATCATGAGGCTTTACGAGGAACTAAACTGGAATACCCCAAAAGCTAACAAGCAAAGAAAAAACAATGCATCTGTTTGCTTCTTAGGATCCTGTCTAGGCATCTAGAAAAAGTTTATTTTAAAAACACTCCTTAAAACAAACTTGTGGGTTAACCCTAATGCTGGCCACCAGGCATTTTTAAAGGAAAATAGCTTTTTCTCCACATACACTTTTACTGTTAGTTTAAATACAAGAAACATTTTCTTTAAATGTTGTAATATGTTTTCTAAACACAAGATGTTTTCACTGTAGGGGCAGGCTATGTGGAAATTGGTATGAGAAATCCATATTGACACTACAGAACTAGAAGGCAAATAACACTTGGGACTCTTGGAAAATTCACTTAGGGAAAAAGCATGTCCTAGAAATCCTTCTCCCACCCAGAAACATGCAGTTTTGAGATAAGCTTTTTTAGCATTTCAGAACTGTCACTTCAAATGCTAATTCTGTTTTTCTTTTACTCTTTTATTTTTGTATATGATATTTCTAGTTGTTTCATTACTTCTTCATACTAGGGATAGCTAATGCTAACATGTAGTGTGCTATAACAGATTTTATATCTCCTTTATTTTAATTTTTTCTTTTTTCTTTTTTTTTTTTTTTTTNTTTTTTTTTTTTTTTTTTTTTTTTTTTTTAGCATTTCCCATCTGCGTGGCAATGAAACAGCTTCATATAACTCAACAAAGGAGACATTGATTTAGTAAAGTGAGGATGTATCCATCAGCACTAAGTTACAGCTGTTCTTAATGGATTTTAAAATACAAAAGCTATTTCACCTCTTAGATTGTCATATTATGAAATGCTAGTAGTAGTTGCGCATATCAAAGCACCAGCTACCAACCAAATCTTGTGAAAGGTGAAGGCAGCATCAAGCCAGCCCCCTTTTGAAGCTCCCCGATGCCAATTGAAAGCCTATTTCCCCAGTATGCTCCTATTTTATTTTTCCCCCCCTGCAGGTATTTGCCATTACCCTCTCACTGCTTGCTTTTTTTTTTTTAATCCTTTTACAAAAGCAATATTTCTGCTACTGAGGCCACAATTTGTTTCCCAATTGCTTTGTTTTCAAAATAAACCAGAGAAAACCCAAGCCATTATCTTTGTACGAATGCACACATTCAGCGCTCGGCAAACTAAAAGGCAAGATTTGCAAATCACCTTTATTTTCAGTGTCAAGCAGCTGGAGCACTTTTGCTTCCAAAAATATGGAAGAGCCATGTTGTCAGACAGCTTGGAGAGAGGCAAGTAATAAATTGCATTGTGCTGCATAAAGGTTTTAAGGGTCTCTTAAAATGTGCTGGAGGTAAGTTGCCAGGAGATATATTAATGCTTTTATTTAGCTGTATTTCAGTTTGTGTTTGTCTTTGCTTCTCTGGTGTTGAGGGCGCTTGAAACAAATTGTGGCACAGTGGTAGCTGGTTAAAGTTGCTCTCGTGGTTGTCTGATCATTTCTATGAATTACTGACACCAAGCAACCTGGTGTGTTAGTGGCACAAAGTTTGCTCTCCATGGAGGCAGAAAGAGCTCTTTCTATCCAGGCTGATAATTGGTTAGTTTTTATTCCTTCTCAACTGAGTCCATACATTCTACGTGCAGGTGAGGGAAATTTAGAGGGATCAAGCCAGTAACTCAAGAAAGGGAGTTCCAAAGAGAAAGATCCCTTTGAAACCAGAAAGCTTGCGGGCATTGTAGATCTAAGTACAAGTTTTTACTTCATACAGTGTTTTAAGCACTATGTAATAGAGCATAACTTTATGCTCTATTGGATATGGAGTTCTTGAAATCCTATTTTGTGATCATAATCCTCAAGTAAAAGTTTATTTTGAACCATGAGTTCCGGCTGGAAGTCACACTGGGCTGGATGAAGTCTAGAAATGCAGGAAGGGACAATGGTTTATATGATAACAAGGTCTGGCTAAGAAAACTACTAAAATATTCCTTTAAGAAAAAAGGGGGGAAAAAAACCAAACAAAAACCAAACCAAACCAAACCAAAACAAACCCACAAAAACCCAAAAAAACAACAAACCACCAAAAACAAAGCCTGAATCCAAACAAGAATGTAATAACATGAGACTCTGAAGAAGTGCACTTTCCAACTTGTTTCTGTAGCATATGGATTTTATCTTGGTTCCTTTTACCATCCCCATTGAATGACCCAAAGTTTCTGTGTTGCCATGAGGTGTGCTGAACACTGATTCCCGCACAGAGCCAGAGGTAGAGCTTAACACCCCATGCAACTTACCCATACCAGGCTTTTCTCAGAGCATGGGGTCCTCAAGGGACAGGACAGCTGGCCTGCAGCCCAGCATGGAAAAGAGAATCTTTTGACCATCGACTGGTGGCTTTAAAGCCTCTTTATACCATGAATTCACTGTCAATATACTTCTGTTTTGATTTAGTGACTGAATTAAACTGATTATTCCCCTTTTCCAGCAGTATTATGTCTGTGTCATCATGAATTTGGAAATTCCCTTTCAGGTATTTATGTAGCAAAAACCCCAGTACCAATGGTCTGTCTTCTTGGATTTTCTCTTCTCAATTGAGTTATCTCAGCTGGGTTGACACAAACCCAATTTAAGCAACTTTAGAATTGTGTGAGTTCAAAGGAAGCCCACAGAGGGTGTAAACACACTGTTAAACAGTGTCAGAGACCTTCTCTAGGCCGTCACCCAGACCCACCTTTCTGTTGCTGTTGAATTTTAAGTTACACAAACTTGTAAAGCAGCATTCAAGTAGAAGGGAATAAATTCATAGGTCACATGAAAGGAGAATGCTGGGATAAAAAAAAGCATTGTAATGTTTACTGCCAGACCCCATCACCTCCTTTATCAGCGTGGTTTAATTCATACCGAGAAAAAAAATGCTAGAAAATATGGCAGAATATTAAAAAATAAGGGAAGTCCTTTATGCAAAACCACTCTCATGAACTAAATGTCTTTACTGTATCTGTCTTCAAATGAAACTGGGGGAAAAGCCTCAGGATACTGTCAGGACTTTTATTTGAGGTTTAAAGCCAGAGGCCATAGAGGACCTTTCAGGTCTCTTTGCAGTTTGCACCTGCATTTTGCTGCATTTTAAGTTATAGAGAGTAAAGCCTGGAAAAGTGGAAAACCTGAAATGATTCAGAGAAAACAAAAAGAAAATTTATAGAGTTTAGTGAAAAAGGCTATATTGGATGCACCTCTCCTTTTCCATCATCAGGTAATAAAACAGATGAAAAATACCTTCTAGCATCTGGTAAGCATCAGTATTTTGTAAGAGTTTGGCATTTAAAACACCCCAACAAACCACTTCTGTAACTGTTGAGAATGCTTAACTGCAAAGCTTTTTTGTCCAGCCCTGAATTGTACTGTGCTTTGAATAGCCTTGCTTTTTCTATCTATGAAAGGTTAAGCTGGGCTTGAATCAAAGTTTTCTTATTTGAAGATCAAGGCTAAAACTCAATTTCTTTTTACAGAACAAAAGGTATCACTAAATAAATTAAAGTAATCTAAAAAATCATAGAGCCAAGACTTTGCACATTCATGAATTATACAACTACAAGCAGGTGGTTATTTGCTAGTAAAGACCATGCTTTTAGTAGAAACAAGCATTGTTAAAATAAGCAAGAGAAAAATTACAAGCTCTTCCTTTGCCTTTGACAAAACAAGGTCACATTTGCAATTTGCAGTGCTTGAACTCTCCCTTATCAATCTTGGCAAAGGTTTATCAAGTTATTCTGAGTAATTTTCTTCAAGTTATGAGTGTGTCACTTGGTCTGTTATGAACCTGTTCCTTCAGTTTACTCTGATGTTTACCTGTGAATTGTCACACTTGTTCTTGCAGATCAGTGTCAAAAGAAAAAAAAATAAAACAGTGTTTTAAATCAAAGCTTCAGTGTAGAAGGATATAAAGTGTGAAATCCAGACCCATTGCTTTCATTCTGGCTTTAGTGATCATAGAAACCTGCTGTAGGGCAGGACTAATCTGCCAGAAAATTATTATTGAGCCCTGGTAACTCAGATATATGTGCAGACTTGAAAATGTTGTATTTTGTGCCAACTCCAGGTCCTACAAGAACCTCACACTGTATCCTCCACCTGGCTCAGAAATACGCTGTGTTCTACCATAAAGAGGAGGAAGTTTGTTAATTCCCAAGCAGCTGTGAACAATTTAATCTCTTTGCAAACAGCCCAGCATCCTATTCCAATTGAGAGTTTCTTGGAAGATGGAGAGTTTGAAGAGCTGGTTAGAGATAATAGCATCTTTCTTTCAAGGCCATTCCTATGTATTTGGCCTCAACAGTAGCATCTTGATGTTGCCAAATCTCAGAGCCTCACGATACTTGGTTGGAGTTTCCTCCTCCATATGCTGGAACTGAGAGGTTTAAAATTATTCTTTGGCAGACAACTTTGAAAGCTTGAATTACTTCTCCGTAAATAGTTGGAAATCAGGAGGCGAACCACAGTTTTGCAATTTTAGGAAGAAGAAATCCCTGTAATTTTAAGATATGATTAAGATTTTAATCTGAATGCTAGTGGTTGGAACTCCTGGGACTTCCCAGATAAAATTGCCTCTGAGAACTGAGCTGATAACTTGAATTGGTTTTCTGGACAAGTCTCTAAATTACTGACTTCTTTGCCTCACACAATTTCTTAATCAAAAAATCACCATCCAAATCCTACACACAAGCCATTTTTGCTACCTCTTTGGCAATATGTTTAGAAGAGTCAGAGAATCACAAAGAACTATTTCAAGAAATTCATACCCAGATTTCTTTGAGTTCTCAGAACCAAGAACTTTTTTGTTCTGATTATCAGAAGGTCTCTGCACTCAAAAATGGTTGTATAGCTATTTAAGCCAGCTGTACTTTTAAACAGGCTTGCACCTGATACAGTTTCCATGGGAGCTGCTTGGTCCTTAGCCATTTGCAAACATGGCTGCTTATGTAGATAATTAAATTAGAGTTAGTGAACACAGTGTTCTTCTGAACAGCTGACCTTCCGTCTTTCTGGCACACTGTAGTAGAGGGAAGGGAAATACATTCTTTCTATGGTTTACATTTTCTGTACCACATTTTTCTTTTCCTTAAGACCAGCTAGATGTGACTTTCTGGATACTTTACCAAAATCTCTTACCATTTCACTGTATTTTCAGCTGTTACCCTTGAATTGCTCTGAACAACTCCAGACAGAGCATTTAATCATCTTAGTTCCTCTATTTTCACTGGAGTTCCCAAATTTTCAAGCTTTTATTTTGTCCAGCAAGATATATGGGGCTTGGCTTACACTAAAATATTTAATAATATTCTCTAAGAAGTAGTTTTATTCAATCAGAAAGTAGTGGAGTTTAAGTACTTAGGAATGTCAGTCATATCTAAAGTGTAGAGGCAGAATTATAGGAGCTTTGTTTGTAAAGCTAAATGGATCTGGAACAATTTTTAATATTTGGGGGGCAGGCACTGTATTTCAAAGGAAGTTGTAGATTAATTTTGTTAACCCATTGCTTCAAATGAGTTTGTCAGATTCCAAATAGGATTTTGTCTACTGAATTCCAGTTTGGCCACAAGTTTCACCACCTAGGCTGATTAAGGATGGGTAGAGAGAACCCCACATCAGCTGAAAAATTAGACTAGAAACTAGGAAAAAAAAATAAACTAGAAAAATCCTGATGTCCTACTGAGGTCAGCAGTACTAATTAGCATCCACAGACAGGAAATCTGTTTGAACCTGCCTGCTTTGCTTCCTGGCTTTGATCACATCCAAACTCATACAGGAAAATGATTCTGAAGCTATATCATG